TTGCTAGACAAGGGGGGACAGGAAGACGGATGCTAACCGAGAAAGGGTGACATGAGAGGTCCCACGTGACAACTCCATTAATGTGAAATGTCCCCAGTAGGAGAGCGCATAAAGGCAGCATGGAGCACTGGCTATAGAAGCTGAGAGAGCCTGGGTGAGACAGGGAGCGACTGCCTTGGGGGCTGGGAAGACAGAGAAAGATTGACCTCTAGGAGTGTGGGGGAGATTGGAAGAAGGCTCCAAAGATGATGTCCCCAGAGTTAACTGGACAAAATGTTCTAAAATGGGTTGTGGAGACAACCCCACAACTCCACAAATTTACAAAAAGCCGTTAACTGGGACTATTTATTTATATTGCATGCATTTAGTGTGTGGAGACACATGTATGTGCCACCGTGTGCTGGCATTTAGTGTGTGGGGACACACGTATGTGCCACCGTGTGCATGCATTTAGTGTGTGGGGACACACATATGTGCTACCGTGTGCATGCATTTAGTGTGTGGGGATATATGTATATGTCTCTCTGCTGTGGGTGCTGGAGATTGAACTCAGGTCATTAGTTTTGACAGTAAGCAGCTTTACCTGCTGAGCCATCTTACCAGCCCCAGAGCTGCATCATTGAAATACTTGCTGCTGAATTAATCTGGGTTCAATCCCTGACATTGGAAAAAAAAAAGATAGTAGATAAACTGTATAATATATGAAGTGTACTTTAATAAAACTTAAGATGGTAGAGATTTCCAATTTAGAGAGACCTTGTGAGCTGATAAAAATTAGTTAAATAGAATTGGGTCCTGATAGAACATACATCCATATGCACACACATGCACAGTATGCACACACACACATACTCACACAGGCATGCACCCATGCACTAGCGTGCACACCCCGACACATGCACACACATGTCCTTCTCCTTTTGAACAGGAATACAGTGTCTGCCTCTTTCCTCCCCTCCTGACATTATCTGGCATGGTATCCTCAACAACCACTTGAATTCCCTGGAGAAAGCATGGTGATGTGGGTGTCCATGAGGGATATGGATGGCAGACTGTGAACCCCTTTTTATTTTGGAGAGACATAGAAATATCCTTCTTGGCCCCTGGCCACCAGCTGACCAATGCTAACTCAGTGGTTGCTGCCCATGGAGATTCCGGGGACCATGGCCTTTATCCAGTCAACCATTCAAAGCCAGGTGTGCCCCGTGTGTGGCCCTGTGATGCCATGATTGCCAGGGTTCCCAGGAAAGGGAACTGAGGATAATAGTACAGGCCCCAGGCATCATGGCATTTTATAGAGACCAGAGGGGGACCCAGCAGAGAGGAGACTCAGGTAGGCAGCCCAGGGCTGTTTTCTGTTAGGAATTGTGTTCAGTTTGGCTGTGGGAAGGGTGAGGAAGGATGGGTGGGAGACTTAGCATGTGATAACCTACAGCCCCTCCACACACATCCATTAACCCTGATCAGGCTTCCCTGGGATGAGGGAGGAGTCAAGTGTTGTCACTTCCAACAACAGTTATATAGCATAGCAAGAAGAGCTAGGCCAGAAGAAGGACCGGCATGTGGTCCTCTGATCCAGGCTCACACTGCTGGGCAGACAGCAGGACCAGGCCACACATGGTTCTAGAGCTTAGCATATGGCAGGGCAGGGACATGTGAAACCGTCAGTGCTGGCTGCCTCATCCTCTGGAGACTCGGCTGGGGCAGAGCCATGGCTCTGTGACCACGGCTGTGGCCCGGGTTATTGACTCCAGGACAGAAGGCTGTGGTGAACGACCATTTTCAAGCTATCCCAGAGATATGTGCTTTCTGCTCTCCGGTCTCTGTCCCCAAATGGGCCTTGCTGGGGGATTTGATAACTCTGTGTGTGACTTTGAGAGATGTAGCAGGGCTCCAAAGCCCTGCCTTACTTTCCTACCTAAGTGCAAATTGTTTTCTCAGTTGCTGATGCTCCTCAACAAAGAGAATGCAACCTTTAAAGGTAACACCAGATGCTTCCAGAAGCACCTGAGATGCAAGAAGGGACAAGCGTCCTTCAGCCTGGTTCCTGCTGACCCTGAGTAGGGCCATCTTCTGCATCCTTGCTGCTGAGCACCTTCATGTGGGTTATGGTCTTGCCCTGTGGGGTGGTTTGTGGCCCCTTAAGAAAGGGCTGATGTCTGTCATAGCCTCTTTGTCACAGTAACACATAGTAGATCTAACACACGGTAGGGCTGCCGCTTGGGTCTTAGTTCCAGATGTAGTCAAGTTGACAACCAAGAATAACCATTGCATACAGATAATGTTGATGGGTGGACGGACAGATGGATGGATGGATAGATGGGTGGATGGATGACTAGATGGATGTTGGGTGAATGGGTGGACAGATGGACTTGTAAATGGGTCAGTGGATAGAGGAACAGATAGAGCCAGGCTGGGCCCAATCACATGGTTCTTGATATGACAGCCCCCATGTCCAGGCTGCTGTCCTTCCCTACCAATCCCTACTCCCCTTGAAGGCCATGTTCAGATTCTACCTGCTCCAGGAAGCTCTCCTGGATCTTCCCCCTCTTGGGGAGTCCTCCCACCCAACCCTTGAAGTGCCATCCCCATCCTCTGTCTCTGCCTATGACTCCTGACTCCCATCTGCTGCTCTCTGTTTAAAAGCCTCATTCCCCAGTTGCTTCATAGCTGACTGAGGTCACAGCCAACTTCAAAGCCCCAATTACTGTGCAAGTTCAGACAGGTTGCTGTGCCAATTTGCTGGCAAGGGGGCAGCTGGAAGGTTCACCGCGTGAGTCTGTATAAAGGCTTGGACTGGTGCCAGCACATAGTAGGTACTCAGCAAAGAGCCTTCCTTCCCCTTGTGTGCTAGACTCGGTACCAGTTCCCACTTCTATACCCACAGCCCCTTCCTGGGGTGCCACAGTATGCCAGCTTCTCTGCCCCAGCAAGACCCTGCTGGTTCTTCTACTCCAGGAGAAAAAGCAGGTCACAGGTAGGGAACAAGCCTGGGGTGTTCGTAACCCTCCGCCTCCTTCCGGCCTGTCCTCAGAGGCCATCACAAGGACATTGCCTGATTTGACCCATAAGCCCTCGCTGGAAGCAGGAATCCCTGGCTGGCTGGCGGCATAGCCTTCTGCCACCCCCTCATGGATGTGGCAACCCTGTATCTATCTGTCTTTCTCTAGTTTCACCCTGTTAGAGTTTTCCATGGTGATTTAGGACAAGGTTGTGAAGTAGCCAAGCCCCTACAGGGGCTGCGTAGAGCTTGAGGGGGTCCCTGCCGCCCCAAAGGACTCACCCCCAGTCCCAAGGAGCAAATGAATGAATGAAGAAAAAGTGATATGCATGGCCCAGCGTGCTTCCTCCCGGCTCAGGCCGCATGCCTGCCCTGGGCTTGGGGGTAGGGATGGGGGCGTGCAGCTGGGCAGTGTCTCCATATGGATCCTGTAAATTAAAACATTCCAGGAAACAGCGCAGTAAATTCATCTGCCTCTTGCCTGCAGGGCTGGTGGGGGCGAAGCTCGCCTCAGGAACTCCGAACATCCGTCTCACTTAGTGTGTTACTCCTATGGAACTAAGCCCTGGAAAAAAAAATTAAAAATATAACTGGATGAACAGAAAATGACTTCTCACCAGCCCTGTGTTCTCAGTGGGGAAGAGGAGGGAGGGGCCACCAGCCTGGGGCTGGCTCCCTGTGGCCCAAATTGCCTGCTGGGAGCTGAGCTGGCCCCAGCTACCCACCTAGACCCAGGAATCCCCCTGGCCTGTGCTGACCCCTTGCCACCTCAGTCTCCTTTTTCAAGGCCCCTTTTTGAAACCTCAGGTTTCCCCAGCCTTGGAAGGGGTGTGGGACCACTAGAATAGTCAAGGTCACAGGCAGAAGGAAGTGTGTGTGGTAGGTAGGAAGGGGGTTAGAAGGGAGACAGCCAGGTACTGTGGTATGGGGGGTCGGGGCCACTTCTGTCTGGGGGTGAGAAGGTTCTAGAGATGGATATGGTGATGTGGGACAGTACTGTGGTAATTTGTGAATTCTGTGTTGGGTACATGGTTCCGCAACTTAAATCCATTCAGAAGAGGGTCAGTGAGATAGCTCAGCCAAGAGGGGTGCTTGCTGGCAGCCTGATGGCCTGAGTTTGACCCCTGCAATCCACACAGCAGGAGAGAACTAACTCCCATATATTGGGCTCTGATTTTTGAGCCTAACTCAAGCAAGTTGGGTGTCCTGGTGGGGACTAGATGCCTGTGTGCAGATGGATGTCTCTGCAGAGACTGTCGATTCCACAGAGGTGTAGGGTGTCTGGTCCCCAAGGTTACCTACCATTCATGTGTTCCTCTGACTCCATGATGCAGAACCATTGTGTCAGGAGGTGAGGCCAGGCAGACTTGTGGTGTAAAGAGGAAGACACCAGGCAATAGCCCCCCCCCACTTCCATGAAAGATTCCAAAGATGGAGTCCATGGGTTCCTGAGCCCTCTCCACTCACTCTGTGGCATGGGGAACCTCACCCATACCTGAAAAGCAGTCACAGCAGAACCTAGAATGGATGCTGTATAGTCTCTGGTCTCAAGGAGACTGGTCCCCAGAGGACTTGGGGAAGTGACATCCCCACCAATTTATGGGATGCAGCTGAGATAGCCAACCCAGCTTCCTAAGCTGAACACCAGGGTCCTGTGGTGAACTGCACAATGGCATATAGATGTCCCCAGGGACAGGCTGCATAAGGTTGGACCCTGGTGCATCCCCCCACAACTTTCTCTTAGACACCAGGGTGCCTACCAAAAGCTAGGACCTTCTATGTCAGAATATCAAGAGATGGACACATAGTGTTACAGTATCCATTATCTTGTATCCTGGGGTCCATGGCTAAGCAATGAGGGTACAGGCTGTCTTCACTGTCTGAAGCCAGCTCAGCCAGACTGCTGACCACAGAGGTCAGGCCACAGTAAGGAAGGAATAGCAAGATAGCCCAAGACCTCTTTCCTTCCTGGCTCATTTGTCCCCTTCTTTCCTTATAGGTCACCTCTGCCCCTCTGGAGACACCTGCAATTGTCCATGCTCCTGCATCAGAGCCTGAGCTACAGCCGGTGCCCCCCACAGATAGTCTATCCAGGGGCACCAGGACCACCCAGGAGCTGCGGCCAGTGCCAAGCCAGCAGAGTAGCCGGGACAGCTGGGATGGAGACGGAGCAGACCTCATAGCCACAGGTAGCGTCATGTTTTGCGTCTCTGCATATAGACTGGGCCTGAGCCAGCCCCTGGGCTGTGGCTCTGGAGCTCAGCTGGGGTACTGAGGTCAGAGTTAGTTCCACCTCACACTCTTGGCGCTATAAAGCTCGAGTCCGCTTGTTGGGATTTGGAATTTTCACTTCACGGTCTGTGGTGAATTTACCCGTGCACTGACTGATCGTTCGTGCCCGTAAACGCCGTCACAGCAAACATGAGCCTGCAGGTTGTTTCTGGGGAAGGTGGGTATGAGTGCCAACCATGCTAGGCACTTGTGAAGACTTCCCTAGTGCTGGGCCAGTAGGCATGAGGATGTCCATGCCGGGGCTTCCCAGCTTGATGCCCTTATACTCCTCTCTTGGCGTTTAGTGGCTTTCAAGGGAGCTGTGGCCAGGGTGGCTCTCCTGATCCCATGGATCTCTTGTGGGGTCCTAGGACCTTTTCTGTAGGTTCTGAGGACACGGTGGACATTTGTATTCTTGTAGCCTCTTCTTAACTTCCTGGAGAGCCACACCGGACCATGCGAGACTCTCTGGAGCAGGCTGTAGTAGAGAGTACCCGTGGGAGCCTGATCCATGCTGTCCTGGGGAGGAGTAGAAACTCAAGGACCAGCCTCGCCACCAAGGGGGTAGAGACCAGTAGCATGGCTTGCTAGAAAATGGTAGGAGCTGGGGCTGGGTCAGGTGACAGGCAAGCCAGAGATGATGTGGCACACGTGTTTGCACCACCACAGGCCCAGGCTTTGATCTGGAGTGTTCATCTTGCAGTTCATCCTCTGCAGACTTCATTTCCTCTGTGAAATTGACTCAGTTCCCAGATGGACCAAACAGACCAAGTGCTTATGCCTTGGGGACCTGGGAGGCTTCAGACACTGGCAGGTGCGGGGCAGGGTAGCCAGACAGCAAAGGAGGGGGTGCAGGGCAGATACTGCCAGAGATTGGCACCCTCTTAACCCCTACACGTGCATATTCATCCAGCATGTTCCGAACCTTGCATCTGTGAGATGTCATGGCGAGGGGTGGGCCTGGCTTCTACAGCAGGCCTGGCTTCCACACCAAGGGAAAGGTTTGTTGTGTATGAGCCTCAGAGCTTAGTCAGCCTTGTTGGCTTCCCAGGGTCAATAGGCAGAATGGCTTGCTTATGTGGGCAGCACCTCCCTTAGCTTCGCTGGCCTGCCCTTTGGAAACTGGGGTGCTCTGATTTTGCATGAGCCCTCTGAGGTCCAGAACATACCTTTGTGGATTGGGTCTTGAAAGCCTACTTGTCTCTGCCTTGCCTACCCACCCTTCCAGGTAAAGTCTACCCTGAGGTGTGTCTGCAGGGCCCGACAATGTCCCTGGTGATGCCACAGTCCCCAGGGCAGGCCAGCCCCTCATCATGGAGTTCTATAGGAGAGCTGGGCTGTTGTGTGGGGAGAGGTGCATCTGCTTTGGGCTGAGGGACCTTCAGCAAATCTTGTCTCCCAAGCTGAGTCTGTGAGATACGCCTGGTGGCTGGTGGTCCATGGGTTCTGTGACACCTAAGCAAGCAGAGGCTTGTGTGTTTGTGTTTGTGTATGCCATTTCACATCAGAATACTGTGTGGTGGGCTCAGGGAAGTGGAGGCACTCCCCCTGTAACACGGCAGTGGTATTTGAACCCTGTGTCCAGCTCCTACAATCTGCTTACCTGTCACCCCAGCAGTATGAATTCTGACCCAGAAAGTTCTGGGTCACAAGTTTTGGGAGTGACATTTCAGTTTCCAGTATGGAGCCCTGTTTTGGAGCCTTTGGTGATAGGCCTTGTCAGTGAGTAACTCCTGGGTGAGAACCCCAAGTCATCATTGTGGACTGACTCCCTCTAGAGGCTGGTACTGGACATGGGGGTAGGAGCAAGAGGTGTCTGGTCACACTGGGGGCCACAATCAGACATAGACCTACCTAGGACACATTCTCACATGCACACTCATGTATGCACGCGCGCGCGTGCACACACACACACACACATACACACATACACACGTTTCCCTTCTTTCTAGGGCTTCACACCAAGGGAGCAGCACCACTAGAGCCTTGCTGTGGTGGCTTCAGCCAGTCCTGACTTATACGGTCAGTCCTCTCTGAAGGTGGTTTGGTCATGGCAGGAATGAGATATATACTGCCTAGCAGGGTTGTAAACACTTCACCCAACCGTTCCTCAGCTCTGATTCCCTGCAAGCATGCTATATATAGAAGTTGGGGAAAGGCCTCGGCTTGGCCAGGGCCCCCAGGAATCCCAGTGCCAAACAGTGAGTTTGGAGTCAATGGGTTGTACCCACGAAGATTCCAGAGTTCATCAGATTTGGTGTCACTTAGGGAACAGGGCCACCTTTGTGTCAGGGATGGAACTGCTGATGGTGAGACTTCTGGTGGCTAACCAGACATCCTTTGTGTGGGCAATGTCGATCCACGGGCACTGCATTAGGAGGGTCACCGCTGGTCGTAGGCACAATTCTAGGCCATGGGGAAAAGGACTGGCATCTGCCAGGCTCTTTCAGCTCACTTCTCCATCCTTTGAGGACCATGGTGATCCAAGCCATGGTTCCCCTAGCAAGCAAGGCCCAAAGGAACCTTGGACTGGTGGCCAGTCCCTTGGTGAGGAGGAGGATGTGGTTTGGAGTCTTGGGTGGGCAGCCATCTCTGCAGTCTGAGGGCATCTGACTATGTCAACAGCCTTGAACATCTCGTCGGACCTAGAACCATATTAATGTGCGTATGAAGTGGAAGCTGGCAAGGTGAGCGTGGGCTCTCAAAGCAGTTGTCCTGTGCTGAGCACAGGCTCCTTGGAACGGAAGTGATACACACTATAAAGTGACTGCAGGGAGATGATGGCATGGAGATGGCATTGGTGTCCAGGTTTCCAAGCCCTAGCCTTAGGTTGCAAAGTTCAGGATGTCCCGAAGCCTCCGCTGCTCCAGCTGCAGAATGGGCACCTTGAAAATGGGCGCGACATAAACACTCAGACTCACTGATAGCTGCAGGGCAAGGTTGCGCAGGTTACACACTCTCTGAAAAGGAGTGTGTGTCATTCTTGTCTTGGAGTGTGCTTCCTGCATGGCTATGCGGGTAGCCATCTTCCCTGTTGGACGGTGGCCTTGCACGTCCCTCTTGGGTTGTGTAACAGTTTCTCACGTGATGAGTAGTGTTACCAGCCGAGACATTAGAAGTTACAGTTCCCACCAGTGAGCTGAGCTGTGTGTGCCCAAAGCCAGGCCCAGCCACTTCTGGCCCCAGCTCCTCCCCACCTGACATGTCAGCATCCTTACCCATGGTCAGGCCAGGCATGTTTGTCCACCGGGCCGTGACCTACCCAGGAGAACAGGGGCTTACCTGTGTGCATATGACAACCAGGGTTTGTGGCCTCATCCCCACCATCTCCAGTGTCCCCACACTGCAGTGGCTAGCTGAGGACCCCACGTTGTCACCAGCGTCCGGGTGCAGAAGCCTGGCCACCACACACCAGTTTACCTTGGCTGCCATTCCTCCTGTGTTAGTCCCGTTTCTCATTGCTGTGGCCGAATACTGAAGCAGCCTCGTGGAGAAGGGTTGTTTGGCTTATGGTTTCAGTCTCCAGTTTACCATGGTGGCGATGTCATGGCGGAAGAACTTGAAGCAACTGGTCACACATTCCCTCTCAGCACTGGGCCAGGCCCACCTTGTGCCATCTGCCTTCCTTAGTCTGACTTTATTCTTTCTTTGTCCCCTAGGGATGGGGGCAACTCTGGGTCCCAAACCTGAGATTCGGGGACTCCTCCTGAGAACACAGGTTCTGAGAAGCAGGTTCCCTGGACTGAGCGACAGCCCTGGGGAGGGTTCTGGAGGGTTCTGGGGTGCAGGGGCCACATCTAGTGGATGTGACTGTGGGATCATGGGGTGCTAGAAGTGGACATGCACAGGTGGGGATGCCTGTCCCAACTGCTGTTCCCACCCCACCCCCTTTCCTTCCTAGCCATGTGCTGTGCAGTTGGCCCATGGCGTCATTACATGCTCAGATCTGTGTTCACTGCGTTCTGAGTGTGAGACCCAGCTCTGCACCTCCAGAGCTTCTGTTATAAGCCGGATATCGTCCTGGGCAATGGGGGAACAGGGATGGTGACCTGTCTTAGTTAGGATTTCTGTCCCTGTGATAAAAACTGGCCAAAAGCAGCTTGAGCAGGAAGAAATTTGTTTGGCTTACCTGTCCTAGGAACAGTCCTCTGAAGGAGGCAGGAAATGAAAGAGAAGGCACCCCCACACACACACATGCACATCTGAGGAACTGGTTTGTTCCTCATGGCGTTCTCAGTCTCCTTTCTTACACAGCCCAGAACCACCTTCCTAGGGTAGCAGCACCCACAATGGCCTGAACCCCTCCACATCAATCAAGAAAATGCCGTACAGGCCTGCCACAAACAATCTGAGGGAGGCATTTTTCTCCGTTAAGGTTCCTGTTCCCAGATAACTGTGTGTAGCTTATGTCAAGCTGACAAAAGACTAAGTAGCGCACTGACCACGAGAAGGCCAGAGCCAGCCGTGTCTAAAGAGTAGCGCGAAGCCAGCACGCAGGATGGGGGTGCTGGCTTGTCACCAGCAACCCTGCAAATGGGCTTCTGGCCGAGGCTACGTCGGTCACTGGGAAGGCAGGGGGTCCTCAGCTGGCAGAGTGCCCACGGCAGCAGTGGGCACGATGCAAGCTGAGCACAGTGGCACCAGGCACACAAAGGTTTCGCCTATGGCTAGTGAGCTGCAGCTGCCCCAGCGGGTACAGAAGGGGGTGCTGCTGCTGCTGCTGCTGCTCATTGCCACCCCCCTGCCACAGCAGGACCGCCTGCCGCCTGGGCTCCCATCACACACTGCACCGTGCCATCCCTCCTTTGAGTGCTGCCAGTGGAACTGGGATCCAGTGTCTGGCTCCCACTAGCAATGAATTTTATCTTCTTGGAAACGTCTCATAATACTGGAAGCCTGGCTTGCAAGTCAGGGCAGG